GACGTGGCATGTTGACCGTTAGTCAACCGTTTGACCGTCCAAATTAACGGTCAAACATCGGGTTTGGCCAAATTGTTTATTTTGGTGTATAGTTCGGGCCAGGATGTTATAGATCGAAAAGATTGGCCAGGATGTTTAGTTTGGTCAAAGTTCAGGCCATACGAAAATATTAACCCTTAATTATAAGATTCGATTAATTAGGTGTTAATTATTAAGATTTGATCATACATCTAATGATGCAAAATCTCATAAGTACATAAAGTATTTTGATTAGTTGGACTCGAACCTATTGGTTGCCTACGTACCCGAGTAATCGGGATCAAAGTCCACATAGTTCGATTATTTTGGACGATATTTTTTAAAAGGAAACCAAACACGTACTATTGCTTCGTGTTTAAGGTTCTATATTGGCTTTTCGTGAATAAATGCATCTTGATGATTTCTTTTAATGGAAAATTGACAATCTTTTGGAATAATTTCGTTATAAATGATTATTACGGTCTATTGACCATAATTCATATTAGAGCATTTTTAGAAATATATGTGTATGAATGATAACATAAAAATGAGAATAATGATAAAAGGTTTTCAATGTTCAGAAGTGTTTAGAGTACTTTTGCTTAAACCAAACTATTAATTTTAACAAGTTCAGTTGGCATGAGTTTTAAAAATGAACGAAACAATTATAGATGAAAATAAGTAATAGTAGCTTAAGTGGCAAAATCTTGTGGTTGGGCGCTTCTCGGGGATTTTTCCAATAATAGCACCTTTAAAAAAATAATTACAAAACTAGCACCCATATAAAAAAATTACAAAAGTAGCACCTATTTTTTTGGAACGCACCCCTAAGATGCGTTTTATAGGTAAAACGCACCAGAAAGATGCGTTCTACATATAAAACGCATCAGAGGGGTGCGTTCCATTTTACAAATCGCACTGACCTATTGCGATTTACAAAAGCTGCGGAACGATCTTCAAGATCGTTGGATGGAGGAACGATCTTCAAGATCGCTTGCCAGCGGAGCAATCCGCGTCCAAGGAAGCACAAATCGCATCAGGGGGGAGCAATCCGCGCCTAGGGAAGCGCAAATCGCATCGGAAGAGTGCGATCCGTGCGAGGGCAAAATTACCCGATCGCCCCTGGAGGGTGCGATCTCATGGGTATAAATACCCCCCCCCCTCCCCCTCTCATTTCTTCACACCACAACCCATTCTTCCTTCTCTCTCTACAATTTATCTCTCTAAACCCTCCCCCTCCCTAAAGCCTAGAAAATAGTGGTCTGTTGGTTGCGGCTAAGTCCGATCTGCCATCAGAAAACGTTTCTTAGGTTTTTTCCTCAAAACCCGCCGAGCCGAAGCTCTGTCCGAATTGCGCCGATTGGTGGCAAGGAGAAGGAGTTTATGTTGATGAATTTCAAGCGGTACGTACTCATTATTCTGGTTTAATTTTTGTTGTTGTTATAAGCTTTTTAATTAATCTATGTACTAACCTCGTTGTTATTTTCTCGTAGGTTGGGGAGGACGTGGATATATATAACCAGCGGTATTATCTCGAGCAAGGACCGTTGGATCCAACCGACTTGTACGACCAAACCAACCATCGGTCAAGGGATGTTTGGAATGCTCACCCGGTACATACAATTCTTTACCATTTGTCCTTCTTTTATTTTGTTAATGTATTTAGTGGAATATAAAATAAATTTATGTTGAATTTTTAATCGTGTTGGTTTTTTTCAATAATTTAATCGAATACATAGCGCCACTTACTTCGACTCTTTATAAAGAGATGCACGTCTAAGGAAATGGGGTTTTAAGCGATTATCATATCCTCCCATTCCCTGGGAAAATCGGGTATTAAGAGATCCTCGGATCCCCCATTTTTCTGTCAAAAAGACTGCGTTTCTAAGAAGATGTATACCTCTTCTAAGAGTCTAACGAGTGTTGCTTTGTATTCGATTAAATTATTTAAAACAACCAACACGATTAAATAATTTACCAAACAACTCTTACGATTTATTTTGATGTGTACAAAAGGAATTTTATTAATTTCAAACATTTGAATATGTATGTTTCTCTTTAAATTATGATTCATTTCCATGCCATTTAATTTAGTTAATTTAGTATGTTTATTTTACGATAATATGTATGTATCTCTTTAAATTATTATTTATTTAGAATGTTATTATGTTAATTAATTTAGGATGTTTTTTTTATGATAATGTGTATGTATCTCTTTAAATTATTATTAATTTAGAATGCTATTATGTTAATTATATGAAATATCTTTTTATGATAATAAAATTCTGCTTGAAGTTAAATAATTTAATTTAATTAATTTAGTTATAAGGAATAAACCCTTACTAATATATAATAATTAACGTGTAAATTTTCCCAAGGAGGCACAAACAATAATCCGCTACAGGGGTAAGACCAATGTGCTCCCATTCCACCCAGCTATCTTGCCATTTCTCAAAAGGCACGGTTGGACTCGATTAGGCATTTTAACGGCATCAAAGTTGATCGCCAACTCATCACCGCCCTAGTTGAGAGATGGAGAAAGGAGACCCATTGCTTCAACTTTAGAAAAGGAGAGGCCACTATCACGCTAAAGGATGTCGCCATCCTAACCCATCTCCCCATCGACGGCAAACCGGTGTGCGTGAGTGATCATCCCCCCGATGATTGTGACGGTATGCCGGGTTGGGTTCATTTCATCTATAGTGTTTTGGGAGTAAAAGTACCAGTGAAGGGGTGCGTTGATGCGACCGATCGCATGCCACCAATGAGGAAACACCAAGTGTCAATTACTTGGTTGACGAAGTACTTTAGAGAGCATTACGAGAGTCATCCCCTAACCGAGGAAAGTCCGGAGGATGAGAAGGAGAGATATGCTCGGGTCTATCTCATTGGCATAATCGGAGGAGTGTTCTTCTCCAAAAAAGCAAGCAATCTCCTTACTTGTGGATGGCTTAGGATCATCCTCTGTAGTCGGGAGGAGATGGGGGAGTATAGTTGGGCATCCGCTTTCCTAGCAAATATCTACTACAACTTGTGCAATGCCTCTCTAAAAGCTGTGAGGGAGGTCGGCGGCGCAATGTTCATCGTCCAATTTTGGGCTTGGGAGCATATGCCATGGATTGCACCGGTACAACGTCCCGACAAGGATTGACCAATTGATCTTCCCCTAAGAGGGGAAGCTTATGGTTGTAGGTAAACTTCTCATACCCATCATGTTTATTCTTTGTTGATTTTCCCTTGTGTTTTAGCTTATTGTAATTTCGATTATTGTTTAATTAATAAGGTGGCTCGGACACACAACTTGTGACAACCTTGCCCAACACAAGTTGGATGAGTATCGGAGGAGGTTTGAGCGACTTTGGGAAGGAGAGGTAACTTCTATACTTCGATCCATTTATACCTTTTTACCATGGAAGACATGTATTTTTCCAATTCTTACTATCTTAATTTACTCATTTTGCGCGTGTAGATCATCTTCAATCCATACCCGGAGAACATCGTTCATTGGCATCTCCAGCAATTCCCCGAGCATATCGGCCAATAGTGCACGAGGGTCCCTCTAATTTGTTTTGGGACCGTGGAGTGGCACTTGCCGGATCGATGCCTCTGTCAGTTTGGTCGGGAGCAGTGCATTCCGTTGGAGGTCCCCGATAGTCAAAAGCCCTTCCATGGTCGAGATGGGCGGCAAGGTACTCGAGATTGGCCCTTGAAGCTGGAGAAATTCATCACCATGTGGGCGAACCGACAAATTCAAGATATTGTCACTCCAGCTCAAGTGGGTCGAATGGGGTATCATGACCCATACTTGGATCGATATCGGCAAACATCGGTCCGTTACATGACTCCGGAGGGTGATGCCGATGGTGCATTAGTAAGTATATTCCACTCTACATAATTAAATGTATTGTTTTGGTTCCTAAATTGTTTCCTAACTTATTGTTTTGTGATTTAGGCTGACGGGATTGAGCGGATTAAAGACATGACCACCGGGAGGATGGAGCTGGGAAATGAAGATGTGAGCTTCATCAGGAGGATGGCAAACAGCCTTCTGGCTGTATCAGAGCTCAGGGTCGGGATCATCGTAGATATCCGCCCATGCCCGCACCCCCGCCACCTCCGGTACAAGTTGATGTCCCCGATCCCCCACCACCATACGAGAGGAAGCCAAGCAAGAGGGTCTGGGAAAGGCCCATCGAGCCCGAAGTCACGCCATATCCCTGGTGGAAACTGTCGCCCCCATTGGTTGCTCCCCAAGGTGTCGGCCCGAGATCCCCCCAAGGTGCGGCCCGAGTTCTCCCCAAGTTGGCGGCCCGAGTTCGACCCAAGTTGGCGGCTCGAGTTCGACCCAAGGTGGCGGCCCGAGTTCTCCCCAAGTAGTCGGCCCGAGTTCCACCCAAACTCCTCACCCAGGCTCGTACTACGATCCCCGCTCGACCTACCATCAAACCCCTCCGAGTCCCACCCCGATCTCATACAACGATCCCCGCCATGGAGCATACTACGATTACCGCCCGATCTACCCCCCATCTCCCCGCCAAGGAGGTTACTACGACTATCGCCCGGTCTACCCCCCATCTCCCTGCCATACATCATCGGGTACTTGGCATGATGGTTCCTCCACGACGGCCCACCACTATTTTACGCCATGGACTCGCCCTCATCAGCAGTGGCCTCCTACTCCTCACCGTACTTCCGTGGATGTCCCCCGCTCGACCCCGGAAGTGTCGATTCCCCGCCGACATAGCACCGACGAGCGCCAAACTACCTCGGCCCGAGTTCGAAACTTGCCACCGCAACCACCTGTTGTTACTCCCGTCGGTCGTCGTACAAGGAGCAAGAAAACCGTGGGTTCCGGTGAAGCTCGTGAACTTCCTTGAGTTATATTTGAGAGTTGAATTTAATTTCTATGTAATTTGAACTATTCCAATTATCTTAGTTTATCGAATTGATTGTTGTTTCAATTTGGTTTCATTTCTATCCCCTTGGAACTATGCCTTTTATCTTTATGTTATCCCAATTAGTCCAATCAACAATACAGTAGAGAGAAGAGATTGGATTGAAAATTCTGGGTTCTAACCCAAATTCGAGCCAATGAATGATAAAAGCAACAATACACAATACACATTTCGTTCAATCAACAATACACAATTACTTGGAAAGTAAGAGTCTCAACTAGCTTGAAAAAAAATGATAAAAGCAAACTATGTCGCATTAGCTGAGTCCGACACATCAGGACCCGGATTTTGCGGGCCAATCGGGCCTGGACATCTTCGTTTATCATGTCCTGGAACTTTGCATATTGAACATCGTCTTGGGCCTCGTGGTGGTCTTCCACTTTGATCCATTTCGTTCTGAATTCTCTTTTTCCTCGGGCGACCCGGTTCACGCCTCTGTCCGAACGGCGAGATGATCAATTTTCCTTCGTACATCGGCCAATAAACTTCATCAGGCAATGCACGGAAACTCCGTCCATAGGTGTTTTTGAGTGAGTCGATATTGAAGAACGGACTAACGAAGTGACGTGGGTCTTTGCTCCTGTTTTTAATTACGGCCATTGCATGAGAACAAGGCCACCCTCTCCCTTGATACTTCTGGCATGAGCACTCACCAACTTTTGTCCTGAAATTGACCAAAACTTCATGGCGGTGCCCACCCCCCCCCCCCCCCCCCCCCCCCCCCCCGTAAAGTCATCTCCACAATGGCAGAGATTGGCAGTGCACGAACGGCCTTGTAGACAGAGTTGATACTCACACCTGAGTTCGTTGTGGCGATACCCCATCTTGTCCCTCCATCTTTATGAAATGTCCACATGGATAGGTCTTGTCCAGTGCACCACTGTGCCCCTTCAGGGCATAACTCGCGCAACTTCTGCATCTTCTCCAGAAATTTTTTCTCTTGGTAGGCAACCGCTGAGAAAGACATAGAAAAGTAGTATGTTAGTCAATTTTCGGCAATTTAGTACAAATTCAAACAGCCCGGAGTTACTCTCGTTAGACTCTTAGGAGAGGTATACATCTCCTTAGAAACACAGCCTGTTTGACAGAAAAAGGGGGGATCCGAAGATCGCTTAAAACCCAATTTTCCCAGGAAATGGGAGGATCATGATAATCGCTTAAAACCTCATTTTCTTAGGCATGCATCACTTTAGAAAGAGTCTAACCAGTGCACCACTCGCCAAATGTACTAAGATATTGTAATTGGAACTAAATTATACGGCTAATTACAAACTTACCAATCCACCACAAATTATCAGCAAGCTTCTTCCGCTTGAAATGATGGTTCCAGTTGCTCTTGAAGTGTCGTATGCACCACCTTTGGGACCAATTCCACGCTGGATCTAAACCTAAGATGGCAGCTCTAATGCCGGCGTGCCGATCAGAGATTATTGTCAGGTTCGTCCTCCTAGTACAATGAATCTGAATTTGCCGGAAAACCATCCATAGCTATCAGCATTCTCTCCCTCAACGATGGCGAAGGCTAAAGGAAAGACTTGTCTGTTTGCATCCGCCCCACTGGCAATCAGGAGAGTGCCCTTGTACTTGCCGGTAAGGAATGTTCCATCCACTTGAATGACAGGGACACAGAAGCCAAAACCATCAATACGTGGCTTGAATGCTCAAAAAGGTCGTCTGAAATGGCGCTTGTTACCTGGCTCTGGGGGTTGTATCTCTTCATCTTGGTATCGAGGGGAGAAAACCGTGCCAGAGTTAGACGCCTCCAATGCCAAAATTAACTTGGGAAGGAATGCATATGATTCTTCCCAATCACCAAAGACGGCGGCCAGAGCTTTCTGCTTTCCATGCCACGCCTTCTTATAGTTAATCATATAACCATAACGACTTGCAATGTCAGCGATTATGAATTTCACCTTTAGGTCTGGCTCTTGCTCAATTAGATGCTTGATAGTCGCAGCAACCACCCTGGATTTCAACTGTCGATGGCCTTGGGAAGTTATGGATGACACACACATGTGTGTGTTCACCGCACGGGATATGACCCAGTGGCCGTGTCTCTTGCTGTTGATGGCCCGAATCCTAACATTGCACCCCTCGTGATGATTATGGCATCTGACTATGAGCCTTTTAGTGTTGGAATGAGTTGTGTGCCATTCAAAATGCCGAGTCATTGCTTCTGTCTCAATGGTGTGACGCACCTCCTTCTTCGAGCCAAATTGTTGGCCCTTCATAAACCTACTGAGTGGACCCCATATTGGGACCTCTGGCGGCTCCATGTCGCTGTCGACCATCCAATTGTCGTCTGGAATGTGATTGTAGTAGGGGACTGGTACACGGTCACGAGCCCCCTCATCATCATTAGCTGAGTCTGACTCTGGTCCTGAATCATCGACACCTTCAAAAGGGTCAGAGCTGTCTGCACTGACGTTGTTCTCTCCTTCTTCATCGGAGGGGTCACTGACTGGTGCTGGCATGACATCCTCCATCTGATCCAGCTCATGAAAGGCACCTTCATCAGCTCCATAATGGCAGTTGTGAAAACTACCGCTGCCTGAGTGGAAGTTGTACTGAGGTTGGTTGGGCCGGTCCGGTTGAACTTCTTCTTCATATGATTGATGATGACCTTCACCTTGCTCTTGGTACTGAAAATATGAATGAGGATCATGGTAACTTTGGTAGGGATGATCGCCATATAATTCACCTCCACCATGGATACCAGATGTTTGACCGTGTCCAGAATGACCTCCAACGCCTACGACCGGCTCGGTGTAAACGAACATCTCGGCTTTGGAAAGATTGTTGGAACTCATGAATTCGAGCATGGCGTCTACCTCATCCTGAGTGGTTATGAGATATTCCTCATGCCACAATGACCCACTTTCTCTCTTTGGATATCGATACACCATACGATCAACTCTTCTCGTGCCATCCATGCAATAACGTTAGTGCACATTTGATGGAGGTTTTCAAGCAGCGGTCTGGTAGCGACCTTTATCTTCTGAAAATTGCCACCTACACAGGTGACCCCCTTTCCGGTCTCTTCCGTGTAACCATTCCACCGTAAGCCAAGCGTGAACTTTTGGAATGCCATCTGCGATAAAACCGTAGTTCAGTTAATATCATAAAAATCAAAAATAAAAAATAACACTAAAAAGTAATACTAAATCAACTTACGAGTTAACGTTAATCGCAAAACTACTAAAGAAATATAGAGCTACAACAGAAAATTGAAAAGAGAAGAGGTTGTCCCTGCGATAAAACCGTAGTTCAGTTAATATCATAAAATCAAAAATAAAAAGTAACAATAAAAAGTAATACTCAATCAACTTACGAGTTAACGTTAATCGCAAAACTACTAAAGAAATATAGAGCTACAACAGAAAATTAAAAAGGGAGAAGGAGAGGTGTGAAGAGAAGTGGTTGTCCGGGAGGCCTTTTATAGGCAAAATCACTGATGAAAACCGCACCTCTAAGGTGCGGTTTTCGTCTGCCATGCAGGCCCATGCAGACCCACGTCTGTTACGTCTGCATGGCATGTCAGAAATTGATTGACCAAAACCGCACCTTCAAGGTGCGGTTTGTATGGCAAAATCGCATCCTCATGGTGCGATTTTGTTTGGGAGAAACAAATCGCACCTTTATGATGCGATTTTAATAGGTCAGACCTAAAACCGCACCTCGGCCATGCGATTTCAGTAGGTCAGACCTAAAATCGCTTGGCTAAAGTGCGATTTGAGTCCAGATAATTGGAACGCACCTTACCAGTGCGATCTATTTGTAAAACGCACCCTTAGGGTGCGATTTACACATAAAACCAATGTTGTCAAAGCCGAGCCAAGTCGGCCGGTCGAGCCGCCAAAACCGCCACCCGGCCATAAAACCGGCTCGACTCAGCTATTTAGCTGGAGTGGTTCTTTGGGGCGGTCGGCGAGCGGCCGAAGCGGTTAACCGCTCGAACCGCTTCGAGCCGCTCGACCGGCTTTTACCATTTGGGCCGGTTGCTTTAATTAAAAAAAAGTATCAAAAATAAAAAATGAAGGGGAGGCTGCTGAAAACGTAATCCTAATTGACATTGAGACATTCATTTCTTCTCCCCCTTCGCGCAGTAGCCAGACACGAAGAACGGAAGAAGAGCTAGTCGCCGTCACCGTCGTGGGTCCCCGTCGCCGTCTCCGTTCGTGGTCCCCGTCGCCATTCGCGGGTCCCCGTCACTGTCTCCGTTCGCCATCAGCACGCCGCTGCTTTCCTCCCGCGCACCCAGATCCTCTCCTCGACCGATTACTCCATCACCATCGGATCTGACCTCTGCATCGTCACCGCCGGCGCCCGCCAGAACCCGGGAGAATCCAGGCTCAATCTTCTTCAGCGGAACGTCGGCCTCTTCAGGTAAATTACTAAATTAATAAATTTACTTGATTGTTTGTAATGTTTGTTTGTAATGGTTTGTTTGTGTTGCTGCCGTGACCCGTGAGGTTTCCTATTCCATTTAGCAATTTTTGTTTACTTGATTGAGTTATTTAGAAGTTTCGTTTATTAGGTACCGGTTCTCAAACGGTTTTTAAACGGTCTAATGTCGGCTGGACCACTAATGACCGAGCCGTTCACGTTACCGGGTCATACTCCGGCTTGGCTTTGACAGCATTGCATAAAACGCATCTACAATGTGCGTTCTATTAAAAAGGGTGCTATTAGTGTAAATTTTTACGAATGGGTGCTATTTTTGTAATTTTTTTTGTAAAGATGCTATTTCTAGAAAAACGCTTCTCGTCAGCCTCGGTTCACCAGTTCGAACCGCATCAGAAGCAGTTTTTTTTTATTTCACAAAAGGTAAGACCGGAGTGACAGCGGGTAATTAAAGACAATTAAGAGGGGTAATTTGGTCATTTACGATGGTCGGTGAAAAAATAAAAATAAAAAAACCTAACAACTAGAAACCCTAGCCGCCTCTTCAATCGCCCGCCCCTCTTTCCTTCTATTCCCTGCTTCACTTCTCACTCGTTCTCTCTGCATCTTCTCTGCTAACGAACCAAAACCATTCCAATCTCTCCTTCTCTCCTTTGAAGACAACGAACCAAGCAAAGTAATCCCCACTACTCTATGGGATCGACGAGGGGAAAGAGAGAAAAGCGAAAAAGGAATCGATCTCTCCCATTTCGACGAAGGCGACGCGAAACGCCAGAGGCCATGGTGACGGCGGAGGTGGGTATTTTTAGGTTGCATGACTTTTTGTGGATCTGTTGGAGATTTTAGGATCATGATTTTCGTTTCTGGATTTTTTGAGGAGAAAAAGGGGAAGCGAGGTCAGAGGCGACTGCCGGCAAGAACGCCGGGGCTGTATATGGCGGTACTGGCGACGACGGCAACAAGGGTTGTACGTGGGTTTTATGTTTGCTCTCGATTTTTTGGCTTGGTTTTTCAAATGCGGTTCCGACTTATTTTAATTTGTTTAATTTTCTGGGTTTTCGGCTGAGTTATGAATATGGAAATTAGTCGGTGGGAATAAAAGGATTCCGCCGGCAGAGGCTCTGAATTTCGCCGGCAGTGATGGTGACGCCGACAAGAGAGAGGTGCTTAGTTTAGGTAAGTTTTGGGATCAAAATCGGGCATTTTGTGAGTTACTGGTTGTTTAGGAAAATTGGTTCTGGTTTGCGACGAGGACAAAGAAAAGGGTGCGAGGTAGAAAAGTAGGATGAATGATATAGATGATAAATGATGATTAGTTTGATTACCTTAGATTACCAACCTTTGTTTGAGGTGCGTGAATGAATCTGCCCCTCTCCACATGTTGTGGGTGTTTAGCTGCTGCCTTCTGTCATTTGCTTCTTTTTAGTTCTTCTTGTCTTTGTTGTTGTTGTGTTTTGTGTGTGGCTAAAGAAAGAAGAAGAAAGGAAGAGAGGGGGGAAGTTTACATATTTGCTTTCTATGTTTGTAAGGAGAGGAAGTGTGAATGGAGTCTTTTTGTGGGGTTAAAATAGAGGTTTTCTTCACTTGTCTGTTCACTTTTTGCTCTGTTTTTGTGTGTTTTTAGGACGAAGAGGAAGGTGAGGAGATATGTCCTTTTTCTTGCAAAGGAAGGGTGAGGGAAGTCCCTGGAAGCTAGGTCGAGATGAAGATCCAGAGGAAACCCTCCAGAAGAAGAGTCCCCTTTTTTGTCTGCTCAAAGGGTCATTAAATAGAAAAGTTAGCTTGGGGAGCAAGTCAGTAACAGTGTCGGTTTTGGGTTGGACTGGTCTGGGTTGGGTCTGACCGATATGGGTTAGGTCATACCTAATCTCTGACCGGTTTGACTTCATTGAGGGTTGACTTGGCCTTGTGGGTAGGGGTGGCTATACGGTCCGGTTAAATTGGCCCAAATTGATCCGGTCCAGTCCGGTATTTTTGAAAATATAAGGACCGAAGATTGAATTGGATACAGTCCGGTCTTGATCCGGTCCGGTTTTGATCCGGTTCGGTCCCAATTCGGTCTTGATTTTACATTGAGATTGTGGGATTTGAGTGGCCTAAGGCCTTAAAGGGTGAGGAGTTGGTTAAGTTTTGTACTAAGTGCAAAGGTTTGTGACCGTTTATGCAAATTACCCTTAAGTTTTGGGTGTTGAGCTCTCTTATCCGGTCTTTATCCGGTTTTTTACCTCAAATCTAAGCCCAAAAATTGGATTGGATTGTTTACTATCCGGTCCCGGTCCGGTCTCGGTCCGAGTTATACGGTCCGGTTTTCGGTTTTTAATCCGGTCCCGGTCCAAATAACCACCCCTACTTGTGGGATGGACTTGGTTGACTTTGACCTGAGTTGTTTCAAGATTTAATTGGGTCTATTTATTTATTTTTCTTTGTACATTGTAATTGCTATTAATTGTGTTTGATAATAATTGTACTCTTATTTTGTAATTGTAAAAATAATATGCGGTTATTATTCTTCAGTATTGTACTTGTATTTGTAATTTATTTACTTAAATTTTTTTATCTTATTCTTTATTTTGAAACCCTTTTTTATGTATTGTTTTGATATCAAAGCCCAATCATCATTCGACTCAATGTCTTAAGAAATGTCTAACCTGCACGGCAATTAAAATCGACTTCATGTCTGATGGCTCAAGATAGGGTGCATAACAATGGGTTATGCATCCATCAATAACCAAATCTGGACCCTTCATTTAGAGAATCTAGATCTAAGGATGGAGAATTAAAGAGCATTTTTATGTTTCCTAGCTTTCTTAATTAGCTCATGTCTTTTTTTGTTTTAACTCGGATTTTAATTTTTTTTGCACAGATGGAACGAGTTCATCGTGCTCTACCAAATGAGAACAATTTTCAATATTTTTTTAGAAAAAAAAATTCTGGTCTCTTGGTACCAACTGCATACCATATGGTATCTTCTTCGTTTTTAATTCGTTTTTGAAAAAGTTTGCACAGAAGGGACGAGTTCATCATGCTCTATTGGATCTACAAATTTCTGGGTGAACAAATTACAGGACCAAAAAATACCACACAATACCACCCTGGTACGGGGTGGTATTGTATGGTATCTTCTTCGTTTTTAATTTATTTTTGGAAACGTTTGCACAGAAGGGACGAGTTCATCATGATCTATTGGATCTACAAATTTCTGGGTGAACAAATTACAGGACCAAAAAATACCACACAATACCATACAATACCAGTGGTATTGTGTGGTATACAATGTTAAAAGTCGTAAATGACAATTAATATACTTCTACTATCATGTATTCAACCATCCTACAGTCTTGGTTTGTTCATACCACCATGGTACGTTTTTCAAACCATAGGTATGCTTTTATTTCAATACCAGTCAATACCATATGGTATAGACTGGTAAAAAATGGCTCAATTTTTTTTGTTCGAAAAATATATTAAAGTGGATATCATTTTGAAGAGCACAATTAATCTGATCTAACTGTGCAAAAAAAATTAAAGTTCGACTTAAAATGAGTGAAAAATCGTCCGTCAAAGATTAAAGAGGGGAAAATTAAAGGCTTTCTAGGAGAGAGAGGATGCTGATGTGGGCTGGTTACTCATGGTTACTCACTATAAGGTTACTAACCTGATCCGTACCCATGTCTGATGCCTTACCTAGTCACTATCAAGTACCGCTCGAGATTTACTATTGCATAATCTCACTGACTTAAAGCAAACCCGACCCACTCCTAGCACCAACAAATACAGTTTAGTTTGAAGATCATTCAAGATTTGCTATTGCAAACCTTAAACAAAAGAATTTGTTTAATTAAATATTTTTCTAGCCCGGACAAAAAGTGGTGTCTACACACTTCTCCGCCATTGTCACCAACCGCCCCTGGCGCCGCCTACTCTGCATTCGCGAGAAGGTTTACCACGAGCTCGTGCTTGAGTTATACACGAACTTCTAGCACACAGACACGGAGGATTGGAAGGACGGCGAAGCCATCAAGTTCAGGCTCGGCGGTGCGCCCCGATCCATGAGCTACCACGAGCTGGCGACCGCCCTCGGCCTCGGCCTGGCCAATGATGAGGACTACATCACCGAGCTCACCGAGCCAGAGGGGGTGGACTTCAGGACACTGTACACCCGCCTCGCTCGGCCAGGCCAGCGTCCCTTCGTGGTAGGGAAGACGAAGGCCAGCACCTTGCAGCTTGACAACCACATTCTCCACCACTTGCTGGCAAAGTCCTACACTCCAGCCTCGGACAGTGCTAGTGCCATCACCAGGAGAGCCATGTACTTCATCGAGTCCATGCGCCAGGGGGATCATCTTCTCCACTTGGGTTCTGTGGTGGCCAGGACCTTCGACAAGAGTGCTTCAGAGAAAAAGAAACTCCACTGCACTCCCCTCATCACCCGCCTGGCCACCTACTTCCAGATATCACTGCAGGGGTGCACCGAGCAGGGGGACACCAATGTCTTTGGCGCATATACGATAGGTTGCATGAAGCTGCTTCGAGAAGAGCGAGGAGTCAAGTGGATCGAGGGGTTTCCTCAACCTCTGATCCCAGCAAAGGATCAGCCGGAGGTTCCTGAGGGTGCGGCTGATGAGGATGTCCACCCCGAGGATGTGGATGATACTGCTGCCGCCCGCCCCACCACTTTCGAGTACGGGGGTGGCAGTTCCACTTTCCCCGGCTAGGACTACTTCACTCAGCAGTTCGAGCAGCTGCGTCTCCAGAATCAGCAGCTCTACGACCATCAGCTCCAATTTCAGCAGCAGTATTCGGCTCACCATGCCGAGTACCAGACTCGGATGGCTGCTTATGATGAGCGCCTTGATCGGATGGAGACCTTTCAGGGGGTGACCCTGGCTCGTATCGAGAGGGAGCAGGCCCGCTCTCGGCGCATGCAGAAGGTCCAGGGGCATCTGCTCCAACTGCTACCCGGCGCACAGCCAGTCTGGAGGACTCCTTGGGAGGACTCTCCACTTCCACCTCCACCAGCTGATGATGATGATGCATTCATGAATGACATCGATTTCGACGACCATGGCGACGAGTAGGCTGTACTTGTCTCCCCTCAGTGTGTTTGTGTTTAGACTTTTTATGTTTGCTCCATGTGTTTGAGGAGCTTGAACTGAGTATGTCGTTTATTTTTTTTTTCCTTTTGGTTTTCTTTTGTGGATTATTTATTTTGTGGCCATCTGGGCCAACTCTGATCCCTAACGCGCGGTGTTTTAGTGTGTTCTTGATGTTCCTTTAGTGCAGAACTGCCCGTTCGTTCCATATGTCCCCCGCTGACTGGTCCACTTCCAGTCTTCCGCAGTATTTCAATCCGGTAACATCGTTCCCCTTATCTCTCCCTCTGCTCCATTGAGGGCAATGTCGTGCTTAAGTGTGTGTGTGTGTGGGGGGGGGGGGGGGGGTGCTTTGTATCGGTTGGAATTTATATACGTGTGCTTGGAGCGTAGTCCGCTGTCCAAATCTCGAGATTTGAGGGCTCCAAGTACGACTATTTGATCATATTGGCACTGTGGATTTGATTGGTGAATTGAATGGGTTTTGGATTAATGCATGACAACTGGATGGTGACTAGGACAACCTATAATGATGACTGAGAAGTGCAGTAGAGTTGTGTAGGGGTTCAGTTTTTTCAACTGTTTGCTTACCAACTGTGACTTGGATTGATTACTTGTTCTTGACAGAAGTTTATGCATCTAGTTCAGGGAATCAGAATGAGAGATAGAGCATATAGGTAGCCATGTGAGATTTGAGCCTGCTCGTTTCTTTCTTGTGCGATAGTTCCCTCTTCCATGATTTGTAGCATTCACGTTGTCAGTAACTAAAGATGATGGAGGCATAGGATTAGTCCACGAACAAATTGACTGTCCTGGTGTGTCATACCCCCTAGTCAGCCCCTTTGAGTTGTGTGTTATTCTTTCTTTCGGTCTGCAATGAAAAATCACCCTTTTGCATCTCTTAGAAGGTTCCATAGAGTGGTTTTTGCATGTTCTCTGCTGTTTCTGCTAAATATAATGTGAGAGTTGGAGGTAGTTCTTAAAAAGTTGGGCAGGTGTTTGAAAAATGTGCAGAGGTGGTGGTTCTCTTAAGAAATGGAAAAAAATGAAAGAAAAACAAAGCAAAAAATGAAAGCAAAAGAGAGCCACTACCAAAAATCTAAATAGTGCCCATTAAGTAGTATTTCTTAGCAGTCTGGCTTACAAACACTAACATTTATGTGACCTCATTCGCTCTTGTGCTCTGAAGAATTTGAGTAATGCAGAATAGCATAAAGAAAGTACTGGTTTGATTGACTGTGAGTTTGTTGGGTTTGGAATTGTGGAACCTTGTGCTTTGAATACTTCCACCACCTAAAAGTCCTTTTCCCCATGTCCTAGACCCTAGCCAGTCATTTGAACCTATGTCTAAGACCTCCGGATTAGTTAGTGATGACACCCATTTATGTGAACTCTAACATTTAGAGGCTGCCGTCATGGTGAAGAGATGTTAGGAATTGAGAGAATAAGTATGCGCATTTTTCGCATCAAATTGTCCTGACCCCACTGGTCGAGAGTGAGCGATTCATTTCCTTGTTCTTTACACTCTTTACCCCGGTGAGGACCTAGATGGCTCGGTCTTGATTCTGATGTCTTGAGTTTTATGCATGAGTTGACTGTCTTGGATAAGTGGTTCAGTCAAGTCTAGGTTGGTCGATGAACAGAAGGGAGACTTCTCCTTTACTCGATTTTGCTGCACTCGAATGTCCTCTGTGGTGGTTGTCCAGGTTGCTATTGAAGTTGTTCATGTATTGATGTTTGAAGCCAGTATGATTCACGTTATCTGTGCCTATATGATTTGTCCCCAATGTTGGAATGATTGAAATATGTGAGCTTACCTTGTGTCTGACTTGGTTTGCTTGGGGACAAGCAAAACGGTTAAGTGTGGGGGAGTTTGATAAACCGTTAATTGCACATGTTTTTACCCCTATTATGGAGCCGTTTGAGGTGTTGATTCTCGTGTTTTAGACCGATTTCACGCTAGGTTGTGCTTGTTTGTGATATTTCAGGTCCTAGTACGTGAATGAAGGTTTGGGAGCGAGTTCAAGGTCGATTGGACGAAGATCGGACGCGTGGCGAGTCGCTGGGGAAGCCACACGGGCACAAATAAAACCCACACGGCCGTGTGATGGAGCAATGTGGCCGTGTGGGATTATGCGAGGCTTCACACGGGCAGACTGGGTGAGCCACACGGCCATGTGTCCCTGGCCGTGTAGGTAGCCTGAAGTGCAATTATTTGAAACGCCGCGTTTTGACCTCACACGGGCATCTGGGTATGCCACACGGTCGTGTGGCCTGCCCGTGTGATCGGGATTTTCTGGTTTTCACTCAATTTCGGGCCACAAGTGAGGTAATCCACTTTTGAGAGCAAAAACAGAGTTTTAGAGAGAGAAAGTGCGAAGAACACATCCTAGAAGCAATCTTGGAGCTGGGTTTCATCAAATCGAGCGTGGAGATCGTCATAGGAGTGAAAATCATCATTCCATAGCAGATTCTTCCCATTGTTATGAGTATGATTGCTTTGTATTCTGTTTTCCTCTCTCTCTATGGAGTAGAACCCTTCTCTCACTTGGGTATGAAGAACCCTAGTTCCATGTGTTAGGGATTTGATTGTAGTGACTTGGGATGATTATACTGTTTGATTTTAATCGAATGATGCATGTTTCATGAATTGATTGAAGTCTGATCAGCTTTTCTTGATTTCTGATGCAACCTGAGATAGATAGAATCTGATTAGGTTGTTAGAGCCTCATCATTCGTTAGTAGTGGATTGGTTATACGAGAGTTAGCCAGTGTACTGCTTTGTACTGGAATCCAATTCCAGTAGTGGAGTTCTGTGCTTATTGCTTCAGCTTTCTATCCCGGTGAAGACTAGTCGTCTGCCGGGTAGTTAGACTGAGAGGGCTTGGTTAGCTTAAGAGATTCCAAGCTACTGTCGGATCTTCCGCAGTTTAATCAACAGTAAATCAACCCAGGGTAATTACAATTGAGACCTAACTAAGGAGCTAGGGGGACTCATTCCCGAGTGATTCTTCTTTGCTTGAGAAAACCGAACCATTTCCTGCTTTTTTACTGCTTTTGCTTAAAACAACAATCACTTGACTTAGTTGGCTAGATAATAGATAATCACGGAGTAAGCAGTAGATCTAGTCCCCGGGTTGATAATAGAACTTGCCACTTTACTGCATTCCCAGACTGCGATTATACTTGGTCGCAGTTTGGTGTTGTGTTTTGGAGCATCATTAGGGTTTTCTGTGATACAGGTTACATATTTATATGTACATACTCGACTGACTAATTACAAGCAGGTACACAAACTTTAAATACTTCAACAGGAAGACACAATAACTACCGGTTCAAGAAAGGAGATCAAAAGTTTCTACCGAATCCTTTGTCTCCAACTAAAGTGCGAGAAGATCAACAACAATTGGCAAAGAGTTGGGCCAATGAGAAAGGGAGTGCAAGAGGCTCGAAGACGGAGGACAAAAATGGAACTCATCTCATTGCTCGAAGGCACATGTTGACTGCACTAATGAGAATTCCATTTGGAAATTCTGTTGATTTGGTGTCTTGCACAAAAGCACAAGCTTTGAGGGCAAAAATTCTTCAACGGGAAGGGACTGATGTAATCCTCTGGAGCAATCCAAAACCACTCAACTCGGCAACAAGAAGAAATGAATTACTTTAGGACTAAGTCATTGCTTTTGGGCAGATTCTTTGCAAATTCTTGCTTTAATTAATTTTCTTTACCTTTTTTACGGATCTTTGCTTTATTTGCTTTCCCTTTTAGGTGGATTATTAGTTTACTTCCTTCCCCTTTCCTATTTGGATTCCTTTTTTGATAGGAGAGAATTTTGTAGTTTTAATTAAGGTTAGATACAGTGTTTTATAACCTTTATAAATATAGGAGGGATTGCCTACATGCTTTTTTGTTCATTGAGCGTGTTGCTTGTGAATTTTGCTCTCATCGATGGTGGACTCCAATCACGTTAAGTGTTGTCTCTGTATCAATCGAATATTCCCCTTGATTGTGGTCGAGCTTCTACCCTTATATTGATTGAGTCTTCTCCTAGATGTGAGATTGCACTTCAATTCCGCCCAATCCTTTGTATTTTTTGTGTTGTTGAGAAAGTATCAGAAAACTAAAAAGTTGGAGGCTGCGTGACTTTGATAACTACGGTTGTCATTCCGTGCTCGTATCATAGACATTACAAACATAATAGATAAAAATGACAAACTAGAATGATAAACAATACAAACCGAATTGATACAAAATCAAAAAACATACTTACAAAACAGACGTTGTCGTCGGAATATCCCCACCAGCGGAAAATCCTCTCCACCGCCGGAAAATTTGCCGATGACGGAAAATCATCATCTATCTCTGTCTCTCTCCCACAAAAATCCCCACCCTCTTTCTCCCAAACAAAAATCCCCACGCCGGGGAATCTCGGAAGGGAGGAGGCCATGGCCGGAATCATCAGTCGGCTCTTTTGCGGAAATACATCGCCCGTCCGCCCAACTTTTTATTATTTTAATTAATAAATTACATAATAATGAAATTATTACCTTGCTCTCCATTAAATTGGATTAATTAGATCTATTGGATTTTAATGAGGTGTAAAAGATTTTCTTGGTGATCGAGGCGCCCTCGGACTTTGGGAACCTCGACTCGCTTCCCGCCACCTCCACGACTTCGGGCGTCCTCTCTCTTGAACCCCGGAGGGATTCCCCGTGATTTGTTCCTCCTCACCACTCGTTGGTGCCTCCATATTTGCAGCTCCCGGTCATATTCCCCTTCCTGGCGTGTCAATTGTTTGTTCCCAGATACTTTGGAATCCGATTCACCACCCGCTATGTTCCCGCATAATGAGTTTTTTGCGCCTGACCAGCACAAATGCACACAGAGGAGGGAGCCTGGGACCGTTAGTTTTCCGACGATCAAGTTTATCTGGGTCTTAGAGAGAGAAGTGTCGAACTCTAATATTTTTAGTGAGAGAATCCAACCTGCATAAATGCTAACTACCGATCCTATTTATACTCACCCAACACTGGACCGGGCTCCTTCCACCCAACTCCACGTCAGCATCGCTTTTAAAGCTCTGTACTTCTGTCAGGCTCGGCGCCCCGACCAACATGTCAGTCTTCTGACAGATGTAAGGCACCCAAACCGTACTCCCTTGGAATCTTCCGAGTCTTGTCTTCTAATTTCCCTCATCATGCTTGGGCTTGGGCTCGCGAGCCAACCCTTGGACTTGCCCAATGTAGTAATCCTACTCTTCGTTATTGGGCCGTATTGGGTTTACATTTGAGTATCTCTTTGTAACACCCCCAACAATATGTGTGATTTAAGTGGATCGAGTCAACCCTTTGGGCTCGTTAATTGTTGGTATGGTATGTGTGAACTGTGGAGTCACTTCCGCATTAAGCAAATCGTCTAATGCCGGAATTACCCCTCCGATAATTGCCGAGGAGACTTCAAATTTGAAATAGAGTCCAGCTTTTCCATTCCGCTTTAATATTATGTGTAGGCTCTTCTTATGTCCGTCCATCGAACATATCGTTATTAATATGAGTACTGGAGGAAATAAATTACGTAAATATAAGCTTGAAACTGCAGAAAATACATTATCGTTAAAAATAGAAAAAGAAAAGACTTAGAACGCCAGAATTATAGGCGGATGAATAGAAATCAAGCAAACGAGAGAGAAAGTAATACGCAATGTTATGTGACATATTTCAGTTAATAAGTCAAGGCACGTTCTTGAAAGAAATAGAGCAGTCCCGGAGTGTAACGGCGGACGCGACAGGGCGGCGGCAACGGGACTTGACAATCTCCTTAGCAGTGAAAAGACACGACCAACAATCCATCCGACCGAGCTCTCCGTTGCAAGTCGCAACGCCGTTCACCGAGCCCCCGATGTCGCGATTCGGGTAGCTGTGATCGTAAACGTAGTCCGCTCCCGGTTTCCTGTACGTGTTCTTCGTTTCGTCCACGAAGAAATCGAGCAGATGCCTCAAGTTGTTGTTGTACTCCTTGTTCGAGTTCCCCAAGCACACTATTGGGCTGACCAGCTTGGTCTTGGGAAGTCTGGCGTCGACTACGACGGCGAGAAACAGAATTGAGGCCACGGCCAATTTTGGAACGAAATACATGTTCGATTTCCGTGATATATATGCGCAGGAAATTAGTTAGGATGTGAGCTCGATTGTATAAGGTAACATGCCGCCGACGCCATTTTATAGCTAGCTAGTTTTTCACCGTAAGGGGGGGACAAACCAACGGAGCAAACAAATTCGGCTATCTGGCCGCCGGCAATATGCGATCCGTAACGCACTAGATGACAAGTAAGACGACTGGTCGGAGATAGATCAGATCGATGTCGTGGTGGCCAGGAATCGTGAGATCCATGACTGTGGAACTGTTTCCTTCCCAAGTGAATATAATATAATGTGACACTTTTCTTCTTTGTCTGGGAATAATATTGTGCGCCCTTTATATCTTCCCAATTTATTAAAACCAAAGGGTTGAGATTATCCATGGCCGTGCATATCAAGATTGAGATGTGGGTCAAATTGACTTTTACATACCGTTTGGTATAAATAAATGAATTCCATAAGTTTTGCGGAATTTATTTTGAAATGAAATATTTTTGTGTTTGGTATTTAAAAGAATTTATTTTCAATTCTAAATTTTGAATTTTATGGAATTGGTACTAGTTATAGCAATTCCGAGGAATTGAGATGGAATTTTCAAATGAATTCCACAATTATTTACTAATTATAATAAAATAGAATAACATAATTATCCTCTTTATTCACTAAATTACTTTTATATATATATGACATACCAAACACAAGAATTTATTTGACAATGAATTCTACACGTCAATTCATTATATTTTTAAAGATTTGAATATGACATACCAAACACAAGATTTCATTTGACAATGAATTCTATACGGTAATTCATTTTACAATGAAATGAATTCTTGATTTATTTGGTACAAAACGGTAAGAATAATAAAATGATTCATCATTATTGAAAATGTAATATATTTCTATGTTGTTTAAAATAAAGTTATCTATTTATCTCTCTAATTTTGGCATATTTGTTCACAAAAAATTCTCCATGAGATTATTTTTAATTGTTATTATGGCTATTCCATTACGATTTTCTTGTATGATCTTTTTAATACAAATAAGATTTTCGAAACGAAACAATACTTTAACCATCAAATCAACATACTTTACTAGTGTAAAGAGTTTCCATTTGATGATTGAAGAGCAGGGTAAGAAGAGGCCGAGTAGGCTTGCAAAATCAAAATCCAAAAGATGATTGTGCTATCTTGGTACGCGAGGGGATTTAATCACCTCGACAAGAATAAGCATATTTTAGAGGTTGTTTCTCCTTTTAGGGTCGATTTGTTTGTTATTATTGAAACAAGAGTGTTGGAAGAAAATTCAACAAAAGATAGTAGATAAAAGTTTTGTAGATTGGGAATTTGGTCACAACTATGAACATGCTGCTTTGGGCCGTATCGAGGTTTTTTTGGAGGAAGGACATGAAGTTCACTGTCTTGGTCTTGGAGAGATCGGATCAATTTGTACATGGTGAAGTTAGTGGTGAGTCAACGATAAGAGTAACTTTCATATATGGTTCCAATGAAGAGAGTGATTGTAGAAGAATGTATAGTCATCATGCCTTACAGCCAGATAGGAATCCATGGCAGGTACTTGGAGATTTTAATGCCATCAGGAATATCTCTGAAGTTTTGAATAATCCTTCCTGGCAAACTCCAAGTATGGAGGCTTTTGGAGACTGGATTAGCAAAAAGGTAAACGGAGAGAGAGGGTTGAGGCCCCACACAAAAAATACAAATAGAAAAAGGAAGGCAAAATACACTTGTATAGCCATAACTTTCACGTTTTTGACAAATATATCCATAACTATTCGAAAACACAAAATAGCCAATTCCGTCCATCATTTTAACGGTGTTACTTAACAATCTGACTAGACGGATGGAAATGCTGACTTGGCGACATTTCGTCAGTTAAAGTCCACATGGATTAAAGAAAAAAAAAGCCAAAAAAATCAAAAAATAAAAAATGCTCATTTAGGGTTCTTAGAGACCCCAAATTCGGGGGCCAACTCTTCATCTCCTCACCAGCCGCCGCCGAAATTGGAAACAAATCGGAAGCCAGCGGTAAGCCCGAAGAAGAATAAACGAATCAGAATCCTGTCAAAAGCACGGCGAGATGAGGGAGAAGGTCGAGCAACCTGCTTGTTTCTTCTCGGCGGAGATACCGCTACACTGGAGGATTTCGAGGTCGACGAGAGTGAGGGACATGAGGCTGAGAGATATGTGGCTGTAAGGAGCGAGCGGAGAGATGAGCGGTGAAGGTGAGTTGGTAGAAGGTCGGCAAACAAAAAGGAGAGAGCTTGGAGAGGATCGCAACAGCTGCGATGGAGTCCCGATTGACGAGGGATCTCCACTCCCTTCTTTCTCCAGCCGTCTCCCAACCTGCATCGATGCCGCTGGAGGAAGAAGAGGACTCACCGCCAAGCTGCACAAGTGCTACATGGTCTCGCTCCAAATGACCAAACAAGCTCCAATTCAGCAGCAACAAGCTTCAAAGCCGCCAGCAGCTACTTATGCCAGTACCAGGGTGAAAACAGAGGAATTGGAGCAAGCCCAGGAAACATAGTCGAATTGGGTGGGATTAAATATGTAAAAAGGTAAAGGTGAATGAAGGCAGATTGAGAAATGGGAGCAAGTCCATCAATTATTTCATTTGGACTGGGAGGGTTTTGGATTTGGCTGATTATCGAGTGACAATTTGATGGAAGGGTTGCAACAAGAAAAATGGAGGTAGAAAGGGGTTTTGAATTTTGATAGAGAAGAAGTGAAGAAAAGGAAAACGAAGGAGGTAGAAGGGGTTTCAATAGAAGGGGAGTCCAACGGAGGTAGAAGGGGAGTTCATCGGAGAACAGATGGGGAAGGCGAAGGAGAGGAGAGAGGGAGAGGAGACTGGATATTGAAAAGGGATTTTTTTAAAATTATTTATTAATTTATTAACTAATTTATTTTTAAAATAAAATATGACATGGCACTTATGTGGCAAGTGTGATTGATTTGTCGCTGACGTGTGTGATGATTTGGCATCCTAGTCAGCCTAATGTTAACCTAACTGACGGAGTTTCTAACACCGTTAAAGTTTCTAACGGAAATGGCTAGATTTGTCACATGACCATCTAATTTCTTGGCTATTTTGTGTTTTCGAATAGTTATGGCTATATTTGTCGAAAACGTGAAAGTTATGGCTATACAAGTGTATTTTGCCAAAAAGGAAAAAGACACTAATGCCACGGCTCAGGACTCAGGTAACTATGATATGATGCCTATATTTTATTTGTTTAATCCATTATTATGTTGCATGAAGCTGGAATGGGCCGGAACAAAGCCTGTAATTAGGAGGCCACAAAAATGTAGAGGCCCTATATTGGGCCGGGCCTACCAACAAAGACTATGAGTCGGGCTTGGGTATGACACAGCGAAGACAACTAAACTAAAACCAGCAGCTCGTTGTGTTCTTTCTTCCTAGCTTCTTCCTTGTACGATCATTCAAAAACCAAATCATTTGGTCACAACACAATCTTCTTAGCGGTCCTCAATTCATAGGGTTTCTTTCCTCGCTCCCCGTGAAAAAGAGAGGCGCTCAAATCTCAATTACAATTTCCAGCGGGGTCTGCCAACCGCCACCAATGTTCCTAGTCTTTGTTTGTTCCTAATTATACCAATTCTTTAGTGGGCACAATCTAATTCTTAGTGGGCAGTCGAGATATAATCTGGACTCCCACTCTTTTAACATTATTATTATTATTAATACATCCCATATGAATTTTGGTACATAGTCATCTTTATAAGTTGGGAGTTTAATCTACTTACAAATTTTATACTCAATTTGACATTGTGACAAATACAAATAAATGTTTGGATGTCAAGAGGTTGAAAAGTAAATGAAAGGCGAAATTTTGGTTGTTACAATCCTCAAACTAATATTGACGGGAAAGATATATTTAATCATAAATTTAAGACGAACATGGACAAGTATAGTTTCGGCTCATAATTGATTCCATAAAGTTAGAAATTGAAGTATTACATGCGCTAGACCCTAATCACAACCAGTAACAACAATATATAACAAAAGCAAATATAGGATGGAAAATACGATGAAAATACAAAGCTCAGGGATCTAGGAGTGTAGGTGGCACATTTTTTTTTAATATACAAAGAAAAACAGAGTGAATTCAGCGAATCATTTTATACCAAATGGAGCAATCCGCGAGTTCGATCCTAGCATCATGGGTGTGGCCACAGTTGTCGTTAAGCTTGTTCTTGGCAGTCACCAAACATGACCAGCAATCCAGTTTCCAGAGCTGCCTATCACAAGTGGCGCCACCAATGACAGAACCGTTGTCGCGGTTGGGATAGCTGTGAACGTAACTATACTCATTGTAATTCTCGCGTCGCACGTTCTTCGTCTCATCGACCAAAATGTTGATAAGACGTCCCACTCTTTTGTTGTACGTTCGATCCGCTGATTTGCCAACGCAATCCGGTCCCCTGATGATGCTCTTCACCGGGAGTCTTGCGTCAACAACGAAGCTCAACAAACCCAGAAGCAAAAAAGCTGCCATCGCCAATTTTGACCTGGAATATTCCATTTTTTTGCTTCACTCTCTGTTTTTCTCTGTTTCAGCTCTTTTATGTACACTCTTATCCCCCAGGTGACCCTATGAGCTATTTGGTTACGGTGTGTTTAGGGTGAGGAATTAGTGTAGCCTGCCCACTCCTTTTATAGCTTAAACTATGGCACCAGCAGAGACAAAAAAAACAAAGAACAGAACAATCCTGATACGAAAGTGCCTTCAAAGATCTCATCGACCTACAGAGAGACAAGGCAATGCATCAGCAGCAGAATACGATTGCGGCAGGGATCATCTATCTATATATGCACAAAGGCCAACCAAAGCGATATAAATTTGAGAACTTTGGTCATATTGGTTTTTTGGTTTTTAACGAGATGATATGAGTTCTTTATAATTGGAGAGTCCACATTAACTCCTAAAAGCCACAACCTGACGGATTATCGCCACAATCAATTAGCAATTTCGAAACTAGTGGCCTTTCTACCATAAAAAAAAAAAATTATTCCCCCGTCACATCATCAATTTTGCCAATATATTCATTCAGTAATTTCTTAAAATTATTAAAAAAATTCTTCAAGATTCTACACCTTCTAATTCAATAAAGATGTGTTCAGATAGACGGAGTTGGATTTGGTATTTGTGATTCGGATTTTGACTCACTTTTACTGTCACCCTAGGAATTGGCCAAGTGTAACCACTTCCTAAAGCGTAGTATAGCGGGTTTGGGTTTAATTATCAACCCGGGTCCTAGATTTGATGACTACTCAGTGAATTCTTGTAAAAAAGCAATGAAACTTTAATGCAAGTCTAAACTAACAAACTAACAAAGCAAGTAAACGGTTGTATTCAGGTTAAGAGAGGTCACCCGGATATGGTTCACCCTAGACTGCAGTTAAGCCGGATTGTAATTACCAAGTTCAGTTTCTATGATAGTTATACTGCGGAAGGTTCTTAAACAGCCTGAACTCTCGACTAAAGGTCTTCAGACCCTCTCAATCTGAGTCTCTAGCGGGCGACTAACCTCCACCGGAGTAAACAGATTGAGGCCTTAACAAACAAAACCTCCACTACCGGAGTAAATCCGGTACAGAATAGTGAGTTGGCTCCTCGACTAAAGTCCCCAACTCCCTACCTTCAATCAAGGATGCTCTATTAACCTAGTCAGATATTCTCATTCTAGGTTAAAGCAGAAACAACAGGAATTTGATCAGGATTCAAGTCATTCAACCATTCAAACCTCAATCGAATATAATCAAATCATAGAATCAGTACTTGGGTTCATACAATAAAAGCCTAACATACAAATCTAGAGTTCTCCATACCCAGATGAATGGGAGAACTACTCCATGGAGAAAGAAGCAAAAGCAGAATCAGACGCGGAATTCATACTGTGAAGGATGGATTCCTGCTCCTAGATGTTGATCGGCACTTCTCCAAGCTCAAACTGGCCTCCAATGGTGTTGAAGATCAAGCTAGGGCGCTTGGAGACTCTTGTTCGTCACTTTCTCTCTCTAGGAACTGATCTCTCTCTAAAACTCGAATCCCTTGATTTTCAGCCCTCTTTTCCCTTAAAACAGCTGCCTGTCGCGATACCCGGTCGAAATACCCGGTCGGGTATTTTGGGTCTCGACCGGGTATTATCAAAACGCACGTTTCATGCAAGGGGAAAATCCCCGGTCTGCTCCAATAATCCCCGACCGGGGATTTTAGCCTCACGACCGGGCCCCCCTCTGTTTCTCACGGGTGCCCAAAATGATAAATACCCGGTCGGGTATTTTGCCACCTGACCGGGTATTTTCCTCCTGCAACCCACTTCTTCCCAACTTTGCTCCTTTCGACCCAGAACTCGTTCCCTCGCCTCGATTCCAACGCCGGGTCCTGAAATATGACATAAACACACAACCTCGCGTGAAATCGGCTTAAACACGAGAGTCAACCTCTCAAACGGCTCAAGAATAGGGGTAAAAACATGTGTAATTATTGGTCTATCAAACTCCCCCACACTTAACCGTTTGCTTGTCCCCAAGCAAACCTAACTCAAACCAATGCAACTCTCCAGACCTCTATAGCAACAAACAACCCATATCATAGGTAGAGGACTTCCTAGATCATTTAGCAGCTTACGAGGTCAACCGACGCACAAGTCATCTCATAACTTCTTCGGCGAGAGCACTAGTATCGAGTCGGCATCATGGCAAACAGTGAACAGAGGACAAATGAATTGTGGATGAAGAGATTCTCAAAAACAACGGATCATGGACTCACATTTTTTCAAGGTGCTCTATTTTCTTCTTGAAGATGGTTGGAACCCCTTTTCTTTCTGTTTTGCTTGTTTTCTGTTATTTTTTTTTTCCTTTTTTTTTCAAGGGTCCCAACCTGCTCTTACCGGCCATGCCAGGAGCGGATGTCTTGAGCCTCGTGCGGGGGAAAGACATGTAAGGGGGCTGGAGGTAGTAGGTGGAAATTGGGAACGAATTCCCGTCTCCCCTGACACACTTTCACCCTATTCGCACGGGAGATGCTATTTCAAAGCACATTTCTGAGCACCTGTTATTTTCAAAACATGATACAAGAGTCCACGACCGGTAGAGAATCCACAACACCACACAATCCAAGGGTCCTAAGATCACTAATTCACTCAATCAACCAACACAATATGAAGAAGAAATGAGACTTCTTAAATGCATCAACATCCTCCATAGTGCTACACTACCTCCCTAGGTTGCATATCACTATAAAGACTGTCAATTCAAAGCATACTGAGCAGGCAATTGCAAGGAACACATACTTGGAGCCCTCAAATTTAAAAATTTGGACAGTGGACTAGGCTCCAAGCACACAAACAGATCTAATGCAGTCAAAAGATAAACACCCCCACACTTAAGAACGACATTGCCCTCAATGGAGAAGAGGGAAGGAAAAGGGGAACGATGTTACCGGTATGCACGGACTGCAGGGGACTGGAAATGAACCAGTCGGAGTGAAGCGGACTGGATAGAGGACCAGTCAAGACAAGCACAGCTAAAAGGAAACCAAAGAGCTCAACACAATACGTCAGGTCTAATGGTCAGCCCAATAGTACATAATCCAACATAAAAAGAAAGAAACCAAACCAACACAAGACAGTTTGCACACTGATAAAAACAAACACACTCAAAACATGGCACTAGGAACCGCCTCCTAGACCGGTGAAGTCAATCTGGTTCATGAGGTCGTCGTCTCCATCATCCGGCGGTGGTGGTGGTGAATGATCCCACCGGGTAGTCCAGTGGTGCTCCTCCGGGGGGTGGCAAGCCTGGAGCAGGTGCTCAGAGTACTCCATCAGTCGGCGGCCTCGATCTCTCTTCCGCTCGATGAGAGCACCCGTGACTCCCATATGGGTCTCTAAGCGGCCGAGGCGATTGTCAACAACCTGCAGCCTGGACTGGTACTCGGCCTGGTGGGCCGAATACTGCTGGCAGAACTGGACCTAATGGTCCATGAGCTGCTGGTTCTGAAGACCGAGCTGCTGGAACTGGAGCCCCATCTGCTGGAACTGCTCCGTGAAGAAATCCATCGACGGGCCAGAAGCCATCGACGGACCAGAAGGACCGGAGGAGGACTCACCTCGCTCCTGTCTCCGTCGTGGCCGAAGGTCCCCTGGTGGAGAGAGCGAGGGCTCCGGCTCATCGGCATCCATGGCCCCGCCATCATCATCATCATCATCCTCATCATCCTCCGCGCCAGAATAGTCAGCGTCCTCCTCATTGTCATCGAGATCCTCATCCTCATCAGGAGGCAGAGAAAGCCCATCCACCCAGGTGCGGGTGCCATCGCTGGTCAGGAGGAGTGCATTATGGAGCACTTCCCGGCTGAGGGGGGTGGAGCCGCCCTGTGCAGAAGAATCTGTGAGCCCCTGGAAGCTGATGTTGAAGTGGCGCGCTAGACGGGTGATCAGGGGACCATAGTAGAGATGGTTGGGCTTCTCGTGGCATCGAGAGAAGGTGGTGGCCACGAAGGAGCCCAAATGCAACATGTGATCCGGGTCCCGCATCGAGAACATAGCATAGAGCACCCGCTTCGGAATCTTGTGCGAGCCGGTGACGTTAGGGACGATGGAGCGGGTGATGAGCAAGTTCAGGATATGCCACTGCGGCTTGAGGGTGCGGATGTACGTCTAGCCAGCGTCGAAGTAGTCGAACGCATAGGCGAACCGGGCAATCTGCGAGTAGAAATAATCCATGTTCCAATCTGTTGGATTCGGGACCTCGATCACGTGGTGGGAAGATGGGTGATACTGGATCCCCAAGGCAGCGGCCAACCCGCCAATGGTCAGCTCCCGGGGATAGCCACCTAGCCTGAATTTCACTGCAGGGGAGTCCCGAGCCGCTTTGCTGCTGTACTGGAAGGTGGTGTAGAATTCCCACACCAGCTCAGTGTAGGTGGGCTCGTCAATAGCCAGCAGCGTCCGCCAATCGCGGTGGCTGATGGCGGCGGAGAGCTCCTGCATGCAGTGGAGCTGCTCGAACACTGCCCACTCCAAATGGTGGTGGCGCTCTAATTTCCCCCGAATCACCGCGCGGAACTGGTCCGCGTAATCTGGGTGCAGGCTCAGGCCCTGCACAAACTCATGGTCGAGGGACATGTTCCTGCAAAATCAACAAACCAAAGGTGGAACCAAGAAAATACTTGTCAGGACCAACAGCATGGGTTCATCACTTCCCCCACACTTAAGGACGACCTAGGCTAACAAAACGGCCGGAAACAAGGCAAGAAACACATAACCAACCACAATCAGAACACGGGCAGCACATTCCCAGTATATAGAACCATGCATACTCCAAACATCCCTCGCCCTATTCTAAATCATACAAGCAAATATAGTTCTCGGTCGTACAATCTACAGTTCGATTTTCCAGGGAAGAACAGTTAACAAGAAACACACCTGGAAACGCAAGGAGAACTGTAGCTAAGGCACAAAGAAGGGTGAGGGACGCGAGACAGAAGCCAAAAATGACCCGGGAGGCTCGCCGGAAAATGGCTGGAAAACCGCCGGAAAGTGGCCGGAAAACCGTCGGAAAGTTGACCGGTGGCAGAAGGCGGCGGCGGCCGGCGGCGCACAGAAGAGAGAGGGGAGAGGATTGGAGAGGAAGAGAGGGGGAAAATTTGAAAAAATGAGGGTAGAGAGAGAAAGTGGCCGGGGGTTTGCTATATATAGCAAAAATACCCGGTCGGGCCTCCAAAATACCCTGTCGGGTATATTTGATTACACGACCGGGTTTTCAAAACGCGG